ACGTGCAGGTGTGTCCAACCTGCATGGGGCTGAGGACAGCTATAAATGCAGCCCAACAAAAAAATCATACACTTCCTTAAAATGTTACAACATTATGGTTGAAATCATGTGTGTCCTGCCTCTTAAAGCCCTTTGCTCTTCTCTATAAACTTAATGATTAGCTTGTCAAGCTTCATGAAAAAACACTGAAGTTGTGTTAAATTGTGAAGATAAGGCTGGGGAGCACTGACTGCATGTGTCATCCACAGCAAGAACCTCTGCTTAGAAAGACAATGTTTGGGGGCTGCAGAGATGGCTCAGCAGCTAAGAGCACTGGCTGCTCCTGCAGAGGACCCGGGTTTGAATCCCAGCACCTACACGGAGGCTAACAACTGTCTGTAAATCCAGTTCCAAGAGATTCAATGGCCTCTTCTGTCCTCTGTGGACGTTGCATGACACAGGTGCACTTACATACAGGCAGGCAATACACTCATACACATTAATGATTAAGTATAAAAGTTTTCAAAGAACAGTGTTTCCCAGTTTCTCCAGATGAAGGCTTACACATCTTTTCCAAAATTTATTATTTAGCAACTTATTCTATGTCTGTCACAAATGGCGTATTTTAATTACTTTTTATAACTTTTAGGTAAATACTCTTTATCTCATTATGAAGCAAGTATGTAAAGTATCCACTACCCAGAGCAAGAAATAGCCCATTTCCTATACCCCAGAAAAATCCCTACCACACACCCCTCCTTCATTTTTACCATTTTCCTGGAAATTGTGATACTTCCTGACTTCTCTGTAATCTCTTGGTTTTGCCTTCGTTGAGGGTCGCGGGGTCCATTTCTTCGGTCTGCATCATCTTGCTCCTCCTTGTGATCCAGCTCATCAGCCTCACGGGGATTGTGTGTCACCTATGCTGCTGTCTAAATAAATTGTAGTTTGGATTCTGTACAATGCATCCATTCCTCTGTGGATGACATTTGAGCTGTTTCCAGACTGAGCACTTTGAGGCTGTTACAGAGGATACTGCCATGAGGTGTTTTCTTGCCTCTTGGGTGCATTTGAGAAGCTTTCTGGAGGTACGCCCGTGAGAGACAGTGTTCTTATATCAGTTTTTGAGGGTAGTGACACTGCTTCACACAGAGGCGGCTCTGCCCTCCTGTGGGACTGACAATCTGTCTTTTATTTCAGTCATTTTCTTTTTTTAATATTTTATGTGTATGAATGTATTGACTACATGTATATGTGTTCCCATGTCATGCAATGCCCAAGGAGGTCAGAAAAGGGTGTTGGATCCCCTGGAATTGGAGTTAAAGGATGGTTGTTAGCCACTATGTGGGTTCTGGTAATTGAACCCAGGTCCTCTGCCAAAGCAGCTGGTGCTGAGCCCTCACTCCAGCCCCTTATTTCAGTCATTTTCATCAGCATGTTGACATCACTGTGATCTTGCTGTGCAGTCTGGGCCCTAAAGGAGCCAGGTGATCTTCGTTCACTCACTGGCCAATTGCTTATCATTCTTTCTGATCTCCCTGTTCAAAGCTCTGTCTTTCATTATTAGGTTCTCTGTCCTTGAATCTTTTTTTTAAGATTTATATTTTTACTTTATGTGTATGTGTGTAGACCCAAGTGTGTGTGTATAAGTATCATGTTCGTGTGGCAAGGAAGCCAGAAGAGGATGTCAGGTACACTTGAACTGGAGATGTAGCTGGTTATGAACTGTGCAATGTGGGTGCTGGGAACTGAACCCAGGTCCTCTGTAAGACTATTGAATGCTCTTAGCCACTGAGTCATCTCTGAGCTGTCTCTCTTTGTCATACTTATTTGTAGGAGTTCCTTGTGTAGTTTAAGCTATAAGCCCGTTGTCAATCCAAGCCATGGTTTTCCCTTTGTGCTCTGCTTTTCAATTAGTCCACAGATATCCTTTGGCCAAAAAGGCACTTTAATGCCATCTAGCTTTTTTAAAAGATTTTTAATTTTTTTATTATTTTTATTTTATGTGTATAAGTGTATTTGCCTGCATGCATGTAAGTGCACCCATGTCATGCAATGCTTGCAGAGGTCAGAAGAGGTCATTGGATCCCCTGAAACTGAAGTTATGGAAAAAAAAGTTTTTTTATTATTTTGTTTTAGGTGTACGAGTGTATTGCCTGAATGCATGTAAGTGCACCCATGTCATGCAATGCTTGCAGAGGTCAGAAGAGGGCATTGGATCCCCTGAAACTGAAGTTATGGATGGTTGTTAGCTGCCATGTGGGTGCTGGGAACTGAACCTGGGCCCTCTGCAGTGCTCTTAGCTGCTAAGCCATCTCTCCAGCCCCAAGATTTTTCTTTTTTAACTATGTGTATGTGTGTGTTGTCTGTATGTGGGTGTGTGCATGTGAGTGCAATGCCCATGGAGACCAGAAGGGGGCATTGGATTCCCTGGAGCTGGATTTGTAATTGTGAGTCACCTGACATGGGTGCTGGGAACTGAACCTGGGTCCTCTGCAAGAACAGTACAAGCTCTTAACCACTGTGTCATCTCTCTAGTCCACTAATGTAACTTTTTAATATGTTTCTTAGTGATAAATGATTTCTGTATTTGGTTCATGAATTGTTCCCTATCTTGGCAACATGAAATTATTTAATATGCTTTAGGAGATCAAACATTGTTTATTTCCAATCTGTTTATAATTGATATGTGTCATTTCTTCAATCCAGTTTCATCCATTTCTCCCAGGATCACTCACTGAAGAGACCCTTCCCCACTGCCCCGCAGCACCATTCAAGAGTTACGCACATCCATGTGTGGGTTTTCCTCTGTAGTCTCTGCCTTTGCTTTTTTCTATCTATTCTGTGCTTAGGGCTCTAGGTTTCTCACAACAACCTGGATTCACTCGAACTCTCAAGAGAGAACATTTCATCTTGAAAACTCGCCTTTCCCCATGAGTGTTAGAGTAAATTTGCCATTTTTCAGTTCAAACTGTTGGAATTGTAGAGACTCTACATCAACTTATGGCAAATTGACATCTCTAAAAATATCAAATCTTCCAACCCATAAAGAGTTATACACATTTATTTACTGATTGATTGATTGATTTTTTTGGTCTGAGACAGGGTTTCCCTGTAGCCCCAGCTGGCCTGGAACTCATAAAGATCTGCTTGCCTCTGCCTCCCAAGTGCTGGGACTAAAGGCATGCACCACCATGCCCAGCTACACATTCATTTATTTAGATGAAAAACTGTCTTTCCTTTGGAGAGATGGCTCAATGCTTAACAGCAATTACTGCTCCTGCAGAGGACCCAGGTTCAGTTCCCAGCACCCACGTGGCAGTTCACAACCAGCTCTGACTCCAGTTCCAGGGGATCTGATGTCCTCTTCTGGCCTCTGTGGGCACTGCACACACATGGCATACCTATATACATGCAGGCAAAACATTCATACACATAAAATAAGAATAAATGAATCTTTAAAAATTAAAAAATATTTCCCCAAAATGTTACATAATTTTCTGGGTGAATTCCATTAGAATCATTCCTAGGTACTTTATTTTCTAATATTATTTAAATGATGCCTTGTTAAATTTTCATTAATTTGTTTTTGCTGGTATACAGAAATACGATTATTTTTTATATCTTCAGTTTTTTTCCAGAAATCTTCCTAAACTCATTCATTCCAACAGTCTATAGATTCTTCAGAATTTTTCCACTTAAATAATTTTGAAACTTATTTTACAAACTTTGCAGCTTTTAGACTTTAGAAAATTACTTATTTTTATGTGTATGGGTGGTTTGCTTGCAGGTATATAAATATATCATGTGTATGCAGTGCCCACAGAGGCCAGAAGAGGGTGTCAGATCTCCTGGAACTGGAGTTACAGATGGTTGTGAGTCCCCATGTGGGTGCTGGGAACCAAACCAGGGTCCTCCACAAGTAAGTGCTCTTAAACCACTAACCAACTCCAACATCTTTCGATATTTTTTAATTATTTGGGGTTTTTTTGTTTTTGTGTATGTGGAGGTCAAAGGACAACTTGTGGGAATCAGTTCTCTCCTTCCATCATGGAGATTCAGAGGATCAGACTCAGGTTGTCAGGCCTGACAGCAAGTGTCTGTACCTGCTGAGCCATCTCACTGGCTCAGTTTTTAGACTTTTCTTGCTTTTGATATGGGTCAGACTTCTATTACAACGGAAAAGACAAGTAGCCTTGTGCTGTTCCTGCCCTCAAAAGAAAAGGTTGCAATGTGTATGTTTAAATGTGCAATCAGATTAGGGAATTCCCTCCTCTTCATAACTTGCTATTAGTTGTATTGTCAGAAGAAATTACTACAGTTAACAGAATGTTCCTAGATTTGATTTGTCAGACTTGTCTTTCAGAGTTCTGCCCATGTGTTGAGAGGCATCACTTTCTTCCTTTCTGTGACAGACAGACACCCTGTTCCATGACAGGCCCTTCTCCGAGTTTGAGATCCAGGACACTGCCCTCATTAGAAGAGTTGGGAACATGCTCTTTCCCATTTTCGGGAGAATTCTGTGAGTGTTGTATTAGTTCCTCATTGTGTATTTACAGAGGTCACCAGTGGCACCATATGGGCCTGAAGTTTTATTATTTTCTTTATGGGGAGGGTTTTCAGTAGTGGATCTGACTTACTTAATAGTTGTAGGACTATTTAGGTTTTCTATTTCTTCTTGGTAATAATTCTTTAAGATATGCCTATTATTCCCACTGGGAAGCTGGGTGCATTTTAAATTTTT